CCCCAAAACCCCAAAACCCCAAAACCCCTTAGGGTTAGTGATTGGTTGAAGAGGATATCTCAATTGCTTAAAAGCTTAATCAACCAAAATGCTTAAAATCATCATCTTGAGAAAAATCCTCTAATCCCTCCTTTCTTCTTCTTTTTCTTCCTATCACCAATAACCTCACTCTTCTCTCTCTTCAATTCCTCTTCTTCCTCACCCTCTCCCTGTGACACCATCGAACGTATAGACTTCGACGGTATATACTAACCATTAATAAGAAGCTTACTGGTCTTCCTGAGTCAGGCCTGAGCCTGGCTGAGGACTCTGAAGAGTCCTTCTGCTGGCTTGGATCAGGGTCTTTGTGGGTGGAGACTAAGGGGCCTGAAGTTTTTGCGTGTTCGATTATTTGTTCTCTGTGGGTTAGAAGGGGATTACTGGAGGTAAGTGGAGAGGTAGGAGGTGACTGAGGGGGATTTTTGGAGGATGTCTGTTTCTTCGACGACTTCGTAGGTGGAGATGACTGGGAAATCGAGGTTTTGGATCATGCAGTGGATGAGGGAGGGGTAGTCTTCGAGAGAGGTGATTTTCTGGATGTTGGCTGGTTTACTGGAGGGGTTAGAGAAGGAGCTTACTCTTCGGTGATTCATTTCCATTCTTCGTCTGTTTTGAGATAGGTTGTGTAAGAGTCGAATTTTGAGCTGTAGCATATGAGTCCTGCTAGAGTTGCCTTTGGTGATTGAATATCCATGCTGTATGGATCTAGAAGAGTCATTCTACGCTTTTTTTACCTGTTTTTACAACTACAAAGTTATGAGCTATAGATTATGCATAAAATAATACGATAAATATTTTCAGGAAACATATAGAGAATGGCTGCATGATTTAACATTCTTTCATTATTAATTCTTATTGACTCTTTATTCAGTGGATTTTCTTTCTTTTCAACAATGACATTCTAGATTTAGACTCAAAAGTACCAATTGGTCTATTTTGAATCTAAAAGTGATAAAATCAGCCACTTTTTCCTGGTCTATTCCGAAATAATTTTCAGGTCGGGATAGAGAATCAATTAATGCTAAAGTTCATCAGGGTTCAAAAGTTACGCTGCTCTTCTTCTTCGCTATGTTCTCTCCTACAGGTAATCAAGAAGCATACCTATAGTGCATTCTTTGGAAGATTTTGAATAAATTTTGCTCTCATGACTCGAAATTCTCAAGAGTGAGAAGTTCTTCGGTCTTTAATTCCTTGATCAGCTCATTCATATCTATAAGGAGGGAATATTGGTCGAATTTTGGTTCATAGTCATCTGTTCATTCTACATAACGCATTTGGAAGAAATCTAAAGTTTACAGAGTAAAATACCATTTGCAGTTCTATCAGTGATTGAGGTATCTTCACCCCATGCAGTGCAGATTTTTGCAATGAGGTATTCATAGCATCATATATTTTGGTGCTCCTGGTCTTCTTTCTCCCAACTTTCCTCATCTATGAATGTTAATTCTTCAAAGATATACCATCTTTGGAGGTCTGATCATCAATTCTAAGGTAGATTAGTATTTTTAAAGGCAGAAACTTACAATGCTTCGATAGTTTTCAGTTTCCCTTCAGCTTCGGCACCCTTGATTACTTTGTAGAGCACATCTGTGTTTAGGGTAATTGGCCTAAAATATCAGGATTTATCGCACCCATCTTCAAAGTTCGAATTTCTCCTCCTCTCCTGATTTGTAGCTGACAAGTCATTGATTTCTTAAGAGTACTAAAAACATTAAAATGATAGGGAAATGAAACAAATTAAATTTTAAAGCTATTTTCAGATTATAGTGTAATTTCCAAGAAATTTTAAATATCTGCTTACGAAGTTGGTTTTGTTATGAAGGTTTACAAGGAGTTCGTGGAAAGCTTTTATCGAGTTATCAGGCTCCTCAAAGTCTATGGAATTCGTTAAGAGCTGCTTAATGTAGATATTATTGTAATTTTATACCTGCTAGGTAGGTCTCCAAGACTTGTTGAAGGTACGATGAAAATTCCTGAACATTTAGATTCATAATCAGCTGTAGCACTCAATTAAGATAGCTATTGCAATGACTTTCACTTAGTTGGCAGACAAACATGGTGTGAGTGAGATATTTTTAATATTTATATTTCTTTCCAATCTTAAAAAGGAAGATAGGGGTTTTGGGGTTTTGGGGTTTTGGGGTTTTGGGG